GCCGCTGCTCGGCGCGGCGGAGCCCGGGCGCGTCCGGGCTGCCGCTGCCTGTCTCCACGTGGCAGCCAGTGTTGCCTTCCTGCCCTCACTGGTTCCTTGGGTGGTGCCTGCACTCAGTCACTGATGTTTATGGGAGATGCTGTGGCAGGAGTGGAGATGCGGCCGTCACAGAGCGCCCTGTGCCCTTCCAGAGCTCACGGGCCAGCGGACGAAGCGGGCTGGGCCCTTGTGTGTCCTGAGTCTCTGGGTCACATGTCCCCAAGGGCTACAGTCCTACACGCGTGACCCTGTGTGTGTGAGATGGGGAGGGGTAGTCATTGCTGCAGATGGGAGCCAGCTGCCCCAGCGAGTCGCCATCCGGGTACTTGCCCTGCACCCCTGCGCTTCCAGGAGCGTGAGAATGCTGGGCGGCCCCGCTGGGAGGGTCGGGGAGCAGGCGGTGAGGTCTGGACCGACTCAGTGGCACAAAGGTGCTCAGTTCCACGCCTCAGGGCCCTGGGCATCTTCGGCTCCTCAGCGAAGCCCCACCCTAGTCAAGTTGACTAGGGATGCCCCCTCGTAGAGCCCTTGGTGAACTCCTCATCTCCGCTAACGGTAAACTCAGGGGTCTTCTGGCAGGACATTGACTCAGTGGAATGAATGCATGGGTGAGGGAAGATGACACAACGGGGAGGACAGGGCCCTGGCTCACGTGGTCCTCCCTGGCCTGCTCCTTCGTGGGTGAGCTTGCGGGGTCACACCTGTGGGGCCGGGCACGACATAAACAACCTGGCCAGATTCCACTGTCGCCCCTTCCCCCACCCCCGCACTGCGCGGCCCTACCCCAGGCCCTGACGGTTACTGCTTTTCCGCAAGGCGTCTGGGGCGGCTGCCACCGCCATCACCTCCTTATCCCCCTCATCCTCTCTGATTTCTAAGCCCCATTACTGTGAGGCCAGGGCTTTTCCACACACCTGAGACTCCAGTGTTTTTGTCCTGCCCCATTTATCACCTACCTCTGGCCTTTCTCCTTCCTGGCCACCAGACTCCCTCCATACTCTTGTCCTGCATGGCCCTGGTCTCTGACTGTCTCAACAACTGTGCCTCCTCTTTCCTCACTGTCATGCTACATCTTTGGGCATATTTACCACAACCTGGTGTGAAAAGACACACAGTGAAATCTCTCCACAG